TTGTTGACCCTGAAAAACCTCCCACCATCAGAAATCCCTGGAGCTTCTCTGTTTTGAACAATTCAGTCTAACTCCAGCAATCTTCTCTAGGTATCATCCAATGTCTCTCAGGATTATAAATGCAAAGGCTTCAAAATCTCATTTAATCAGAGTCCTAAAGTGCAAGCTTCATTTAGAAAGCCTTAGGCTACATCCAGAATGGACTATGGATTCTTTTTAGTATGAAAAAGACTGAATAGCACAGTCAATTGGAAAGCCCAATTCTCTCTACTGACTGGACTTAATATCAAGGTTGAAGGGAGATAGTGTGATATTTAATTCATATATCTCATATTAACTAATTTTTAGGATCCTGATCTATGTAAGAACATGCTTTTGTTTTTATTCCGAATTTCTAAGAATATTTGGAGCTAAAAGTGTCAAAGAGAAAATCAATCTTCCCCAAATTGGGTGGGATAGAAAGTTCAATAAATATCATCCCCAAACCATTTTACATTATATTTCTGGTCCCAATTTTTAGATGTATAAGATTTTAAATGATGCCGAAACTCCTGGGTACTTGCACAAATCTTTGCTAAGTTCCAGACCTTTTTTGGTTCACTCCTGTTTAACAGGAATCAGGTCCATTAAATTTAATTGTAACCATATTGTCTCTGCTTAACCATAAGTGGAAAAGAATGGATGCCACAAACTTAAATAGTTAGAATGCCTGGTCTAGGTTGGCTTTTTACTGGAAGATTGTGTATAGCTCTGGGCTCCAAAGGCCAACAGAAAAGGAAGGTTTGGATACAGTTCACTAAAACCTTATAGGAGCTTGGGAATATTAATACAGAAAAGAAAATGATAAAGAATATTTTTATCAATTTAATAAGGTGAATAAATAAACTTTTATTGAAGGCAGCAAACAAAGAGTTACTTTAGAATAAAGTGTGGCATTACTCAAGTTTGGTATAAGAAACTATTTTCTAACATCTAAAATTACTGGATCTGGAATTTAAAACTAGGGGTAACTATGAATTCTTTTCTGAAATATTTAAAATGGAATGAGTTTCTGGGGCTTGGGTTGATTAATGTATCTTTCATGAAGATGCGTGGTTAGGTTAGGTATTTTCTGAAGTTCTTTTCCAATACTAGATTTCCATTACTGGTAATCAAATATGTAGTTTCTCATAAGCCTACTTAAAGATAAGTATATTTAAATAAATCTGGAAATGTGATGAAGTAAATTGCAGAAAATGGCATTGCACTTATTTCTAAATAGAGAAAATTTGTGTGTAGTCATCCCTCTCAGTAAGAATATAGGAACCAAATTAGTTAACTACAGATTATCCAAGAGTAAAAGCAAAGTGCACACAGTACAAGAATAGACAATGAGGCTCTACTGTGTAGCCTCAGAGAGCTTGTCATAAATAGGCCCTTGATAGAAGATGAACTGAAAATACAGAAAAATAAGCAGTTTTCTACAAGGTAACTCACACTGTTAGCCCAGAAAATATTTTTAAAAGATGAAAGTTTTCTTTTGCTCTTCTCTGCTCATCTCAAGTTTCCAGTATCTTTTTACGGCCTCTGGCTGTTCAGAGTCATTCCTAGGAGCAAACACATAGTTCCTACCCTCTCCACCCTAAACACACACCCTTTGCTATTACATTTTTTTAAGCAGATGTCTTCAATTCAAAATTTTTAGTCCTGTTTCCCATTAAACTGATTAATCTATGCCAGAGAATGACATACCCTTAACAGGTCATATATCTGTTTCTGTAGTCCTCCTGCTGAGAACTCTGGGCTACTAGTTAGAAGGGGATTGATGGGGCATTTTGTTGACCCTGGAATCCTATTAATCAGGTGCCTGCCTCATCTATGTGTTTAGATCAGCATAGATGAACTAGCAAACAATCTGGATTTACGTGTTGAAACATCTTTCTATTCTGTTTTTCCTCTATCAAATATAAACAGAATGCCTATGTATTTCTAAATATAAAATCACACCATTCTTTCAAATATTACTTGATAATTGACTATTTCTGCAAACTCTTGAAAAGGTTAAAAAATACACTACGTCTAACTCATTTAACAAGGATTGCAATACACCGATGTAATCATATGAATTGAAAAGGTTTGTTAATTATGTCTCTATATGGAAAATTTAATTTTCTTGCTTCATTAATTAACAATAAAGAACGGTTTCTTTCAGGGATTTTAAACAGCATTAATGATAGTTGATTCCAAGAACACTCACTTGTTTCCTGGGCAATTTCAATAAATTAAAGAGATTTGTTTAGTTTGCCAGGATTTAAAGCTGCAATCAATTTTTATTTGTCAGCGAACATATTGCTTTTGAGAGCTAGAGGAAGTGAGTGCTTAAAAAAGGTCATTTAACACTTAATGAGGGTTTTTTTGTTGTTGCCGTTATCTGTAATGTTTTGTTTGATAGACAATGTTCAGGTAATATTTGGAACATAAGGAATTGTTGGGTAGGGCAGAAATACTTAATACAAATGAGGTTATGAAGAATCTGTTCTAGTTTTTATATCTTAACCTTAAATATCATGTGCAAAGTTTGTATTCCAGAATGCATAAGCTAATGACACCTAACATTTGTTGCACTTTGCAATTTTTAAAGTGTGTTTACATTAATTCTTTTGATCATTACCACAACACTGTGAAATATAAAAGATGGACTTTATAACCCCTATATTATAGATGAGAAAATAAAGCTTGGAAATGTTGTTCCTTACCCAAGAACACATGGTCAATAAACATCAATATCTAGGGTTGGTTGGGTTTGGCATGGTGTTCTTTTATTGCTGTTTGTTTGTTCCTTAGATTTATTTCCTCTGTAATTTATTTCCTCCTTTGGTTCTAGATCATTTTTACAACAAAACTATATAAGCATTTCGGTTTTTTGCTGCAAGAACCCATCACTAGTCCAAAAATCTCTGGTTGCCATATACATTGCTATATATATCTAAAGGCTGACCAGGCCTTGGAAGCTATTCTAATTTCCAAAAGTAGGCTGAAGATGCAGGGAGATGACATTACTAAAACCACACAGTTCTCCGTGAGATGCTATTTGCATCTGTGTTCTCTCCAAAGGTGCTTATAAAAAGAGAAAATGGTGGAGTCAATAAAGGAAATAACACAATGCCCTCTAGTGATTAAGAGCTCTGGTAACAAAAGGTTTCTAGGGAAATATCTAAATTTTGTTCACAGGGATATAAAATATCATTCTTAATTTACTAAACTAAGTGGTCTAGACAAAAGACTTATTTCAAGTTTGGGTTTGCTTGTCAATAGGACCTGAATGTCTAGTCACAGTTACAGAGCCTTCACTGCGTATTGCAAGCTGAAATTTGCAGGGCCGGGATCATGCCACGGGAAATGCATAGGCTCTAGAATCAGAATTATCTGTTTGTCTGTGTAATTTGTCACTTCTAGAGGAAGAACTTCTGCAAAAATCACTTTCCTCAACTGCAAATGGCAAATATTTGGCATTCAAGAAACAGTAGTTACTATTTTGGGAGCTCAAATGAGAGACAAAGGTTACAAGGCTTCCCTATATTCAAACAGTAACAACGTCTGCAGAATTCTTCATTAGTCAGAGGGCCCCTAGAAATCAAGGTGGGCAATCCTTTTCAAGGTTGGCATAGGGAGGTAAGTTCTAGGACATTATGGAAAAGTCTGCCACAGTGATGAAAAACTGCTATAAAATTACCTCCATCTGAGATTTCATTATTACGTTTACTTATTTGTATTGATTTGTAAACTATAAATGCATACCATCTGCGGCTCTGATTCATCCAAATATAAGTTAACATTTTTAAGTGAAATAATATATTTCAAAATGATTTTAAAGTGCTATAATACTTTAAAGATATGGGATCAAATTATAATTCTTTGTTTTCACCAGGAATAAATTTGCTTATTTGTTTTCATCAGCTCAACACTTTCCTAGATTTGGGCTCACTGATGAATATTCCACTAAAATTTTACTTTCTTTCCTTATGTATCTTTCTCTAATAAGAGAGGAATCTGAAAAAGTCAGACTATTTTGCCCTGAAATTCTTAAAAGTAATTATTTACTAAGACCTATACTTAGACTTAACACTTATGTTTCCACTATTTGAACTCCTTTTGTCCACCCTTATTGTTTATACCTACAAAAATCCAACACTAAGGCCTGCCTAGCTACAAATTAATCCCATGACCTTTGCTGTCTTACTTTACTTGTATCTAGAAACAGCACTAAAATGTGAGATTAAAGCCTAACCCATGGACACAGACATTGGTATGGGAGAAGGCCTGGGGGTGGGGTGGATGGGGGTGGAGAGGATCAATGGGGGTAAAAAAATGTGAGATTAAAATCACCTCCAGTAAATAAGTGAATAATGTTTGTGTATTGCAGACCGTAGTTCCTTATCAGAAATAATAATCAGCTTTACTTTTTACAGGAAATGGAAAATAAAACCTCCACAAATGGATGCAGTCCTTTGGAATGGCTCTCAAATGAACAGTGATGAAAATTGATCTGGTTACTTGTCAATTGCATTATTCAGAGATGACATCATCAGCAAAGCTATAGCCAGTGCTGGCTCATTGCCCACCCCATGACAACCTTTCATAAATAAGAAACCTATTCTGTAAAGATGTAAGCACCTCGAGAGCTGTAATTTGAGCTTTGAAACCTAATTAAACAACTTTCTACCAGCCTCATTAGTAAGCACTGAACCAAATTCTGTACAAATATCTGAACACATGACAGTAAAACATCTCACAGCATATAATCACCAATGTGTCATTTTAGAGGAAAAGCGGCTGTTCCCTGAGACAGTTTCTATATGTTTATTTCTGGTTTTGTTTATAATCCATGGTATAGACGAATTTGTTAGATTATTGCTAATTGAAATCCAGAACTGAAATCTTCTGGCAAAGATACTCTCTTTGATGTTATTTTAACAATTCTATTCAGTTCTGTTAGTGTGAAACACAACATGCTTCTTTACCTGGGGGGTTATGTTCATTGAGAATCACAAGGGATGCTGGTGTAGGTCTTCTTTTCCTGATCTGTGAACAACAAAGGCCCAGCTTAGGTCAGTGAGAGTCAGACCCTGCTTCAGGTTACCCTGCAGCTTGCAAAGCTGTCCCACCCTCATCTTTTCCCAACCCACAAAAGCTAATATCTGGAGGGCACACAGTAGGTGCTCACAAATTTTTTTTTGAAATATAGAAAGTCGGACAGAACTGCCATATATGAGTATCACCTTTGTTGACCAAAAAGCTACATTTCCACAGAAAAGAGGTAGTTGTATATAATCAAATGACGCCACGAAAAATTAATATGCATTGAAGGTACAGGGAGGTCTTGCTAATTTTAATGGCTTTCTTGGGGCCTCATAATATTGCCGATGCTTTCAAGATCCATTACCCTTATTTCTAAATAAGAGAAGCTTAGAAAACTCAAATTTCTAGCAGGTTAAATTTAACAACATGACTTTTTAATTTTAATTAATATTACAAGCTTTTCTTATTTTCTAGTATAGTATTTAAAATAAATCAACAAATAAAGAATGGATATGGATCTTATGAAAGTATGTAATTCATTTAAAACTAACAGGTTTTCTTAGGTGGGGGCAGTTCTTAATTTTAAGAGTTACAGGAGCATATTATGACTAGAGTCTCTAATGTGACCTTGATTCCTTAAATATATAAGCACATTCCTAAAGTACATGTCAGTAGGATAGTAGACAAAATTTACCAATGGCATCTTGTCCAAGATAGAACCAGTGTCCAATTCAACACAGATACATGTACAAGGTTGCAATTATCTGGCCTGAGACTGGGTCGAATGTACTTCAGATTATCAAAACATCCTCAAAAATTATGAGTCTCGGATTTAATAATTAGTTTTAAAGCTTTGTATATAGTATTTGGGAAAAGATTCATGGATAATTTAGGTCTTAAGAAATTAATGAATTAGGCTGATGACCCTGTACGTTTCTTTGCTTTTGCCTCCCCATTGCTATAATTTTACCACAAATGATCTTTTAAGTGGTTCCATTGCACCAAGAGTCTAAATCTGAATATGAAAGGTAATACAAATGTAAAACAATCACACATGAGAGAGGCAGAGATAAAGAGAGAAATACTGATATATAGATATATCATACATGGAAAAGGAATTCAGGAAATGTTAAAATACTATTTTTAATATCTGAATAAAGTATTTTAAAAATTATACATATACCTACAAATCCTACCTATTATACATTACATATGCTTATAATTACTGCTCTGGATACACAATAAAAAATATTAAAATAAAATATGAAGTCTATAATCTGAAATTATTCTAAGATTTAATGCTTTCATTGTTAAATGAATCTTTTGATTTTATAAATAATGAAATAAAAAGTGGTTAATTTTTAGAATATTTTTGAAGTTTCTCTAACTGCTGAACCTGTTATTTTAATAAGCAAAAGCAAACAGATTTTTGGATCCAAATCTGAATTGCTAATATAATCATTTTCCCTAACAGGTGCCAATCGTGTATCACATGAAGTGCTGCATTTTAACCAATAGTTCCCCCAGTGCAACTCAAATATAAGTACATATGGAAACCAACTCATTTCTCATTCACGTAGCCTGGAAATCCAAGAAGCTAGGCAAATTCAAGAGGTAGAGAAGCCTTCAATTAAGAACAAGAATGTAGGTCCTGTTACTTTATATCCAGTAACTGGTCCCCACCCAGTTCCACTTACCTGCTCTGCCGCTTCGGGTGCAATCTGACTCTGGAATAAAGGCACAGCAAACTGTATCTTTTTGGGACTGTTGGGCTCCATGGTGCCGATGAGAATTAGTGAGAGACGTGAAGGGCTCAGAGAGACCAGCCCCAGGCGCGTCTGGGATGTTTCCTCAGGCGCCCTCGGCCAGCACAGAGCACTTGGTGATGAATAGCTGCACTTGCCGAGCGAGCGGGCGAGGAGGCCGAGGCCTGAGGAGCTCCCCCTGCACATCCACAGCGAGCCTGGCCTGGCTGCTCCCTCACCAGGCTCTCGGGTCTCCTCGGCGCAGCCCAGAAAGGAATAAAAAGCTAATTGTGTACCTCTTCACTAACGCACATGCCAAACAGTCGCTCAGCAGCTAATTGAAAATGCGATGCTAGCCTTGAAGGACCCGCTGCCCTGGGATTTGAAAGAAAGGCTCTATCCACTGCACATTACTAACCGGCTGCGCCAAAGTGCCACGTAAGCTCCCTCTGAGCATCGCAGGGATGGGCCATTCATTATTGATGAACGGCAGGCAGGAAGTTTTGGGAGCTGGGGGCAGGGTTGGAGTATGGAATCATTTCATTTCTCTTGCAGCAACTTACAATTCATTCGCCTTTGCTATTTTATAGCCAGCCACCAAATAGATGAATGGCCACAGAGAGTAAGCCACAACCAGTAATATCTGCTATGCCTGGCTAGGTGAGGCTGATCAGAGCAGGCAGAACATCTGGGGCTAGTGAGGACAGCATTGCCCCCAGCTGAGCGGGTCTTAGTTCAAGTTCCATCGCTTCCATTAACAAGCTCTGTAGCCTCAAGCAAATCGAAGGCTATGTCTAGGCCCCCATACCCTCATCGGAAAAACAAAGGGTTGGATTCAATGACCTTTAAGGTCCTGTTCTGTTTCAGCATTCCATAATTGCAGCTCGCAGTTTTCATTCGCGTGGAAATTATTGGGCAGCTAAATTTAGCAAATAGCTTGGAAGTCACTGCTGCTGCAGTGACCTCTATTTTATTTTCTGGGGGAGCTGGTTATATCCTCCGATGTGGAAGAATACAGGAGTGACTAGAAAACATCAGTGGAAACATAATGGTATCCAACATTGTGTTTTGTTGTCAGTTGTGAAGATACGTGCAAAGATAAGAAAACTTGCAAAGAAAGCACAGAAGGGGTAATCTCCAGAACGACAGAGGCTGGTGGTCGTATTGGCTAGCGGTGCATGAAGGCAGAGAGGGGGAAGCACTGCCTGCTCGCCACACTGTGCATGAAGGGGAGGCCACAGCGTAGTCGGTGGCCTTCAGGCACTCGACTTCTTCTCTGAAGGAAGACTGAAAATGAAGCGGCTTTCATGGAAGAAAGACCATGAGTTTTTTACTTCCTTATTTGAAATATGTTGTTTAATGAATACTAGATTTCTTATATGTTTTTGGATTTGTAGAATACATTTAGAAGTTGACTATTCCAGTTATCAACAAATGAATCTTTTTTTTAAAATTCCGAGTCCATACCAGGAATCCATCTTAATGATTTAACTATGCAACATTCGGTTGAAAGAATATAGAAAGTAATATGCATTATTCAAGCAGGTTTCTATACCCACTAGGGGAAAAAGCAAATGAAGATATGGATGTGAAAGCACTTTCAGTCGGAGAACAGTGCTGACCAGCAAGAAACTTTGTGATGGGTTCATCCTTGTACTGTTGAAGGAAAACTTATAAATTACATTACTTGTAACAGCTTAGAAAGGCCCTAAAAGAAAATCTGAATTAATATCATTAATGAAGTTATTCTTCTGAATCTTTTTTTCAAATTATATAAAAGGAAAACAAGAACATATTTCTAGTGAGGAATTAATTCAAAACCTCATTTAAGGTAGTAATTAAGGTCTAGCAAAGGCACAGGAGTAATGAAAAGAAGACGAGGGACTTATTCCTTACCCATCTCTCTTTTCATTTGTTTTGATACTTTTCAGTTTTATTGATTTACATAATTTTAGCCTTTCCCTACCTTTTATTTTGGGCAAGATGATTATTATATGAAACATAGAAATTGTAATTAGTGAGTTTACAGAAAGTATATTAGTTTTCAAAATGCTTTCATAAATATTATTCTTTTATCCAACAAATATTTATTGAGTATCTCATTCTATGCCAAACACTGGTATACAAACATGAACAAAATAAAATTCCATCCTTCAAAGAACTTACCATTAAGAGAAGGCAGAATCATAAACAAATTAGCATCACAGAACTACAAATGTTATAGTAGAAAGTGGTGACAAGAAATAGAAAGGGACCTGGATAAGAAGGTGATTCTGACTCTGGACCACAGATACTTTTGTTTCCCTACACAGCATTTTAAAATATTGAGATGACATTTAAAAACTCTTAAAAATAAAGACATCCAGCTTATCTTAATAAAATAGAAAGTCTAGAAAACCTGGGTTCTCATATCCACAAGGTTGCCATCAACCCCAGCAACATAGAGCTACCTTCTGCAAACATGACAGTGATTTTCACAGAGAACAACAGGCTCCATCAGCTCTAATACAGTGTGTGCATGGTATTCATGCCCAGCTAGCTCCAGTCAATCCCTGAGCTAGAGGAAGATAGGCATGACAATATTTTATACCATGCAAAAAAGGGCAAGATTTACTGCAAAGGCACAAGTAGAGCTAGAGAGATATAAATAAGAGAGTATCATAATTGAATTTGAGTCCTAGAATGGTCACTGTTGTGCCTGTGTGGAGCATAGATTTGGAGTCAAAATCAGAAGCAAGAGTATCTGAAGACTTTATAATAATTTACTCAAGAGATGACAAAGTCTTTAACCAAAGTAGTAGCAGTGAAGGTCTGGAGAGAGGGAGATTAACAGAATACAGTTATTTAATGGAATTGAATGGTGATAAGGAAAGAAAGAGGTGGAAGAATGATGGATCCAAGATTTCAGATTCAGCAGCTTAGAACATGGGGGTATCACTCACTAAGAGAGAGCATGCAAGGATGATAAAATATAAAGCAAAAAAAATCAATTATATTAGATTTACAATTGGGTTGGTACCAGTGAACCCTCTAAGTGGTAATGCTCCTTACATTTTATCATCATTAAAATTAGTGAAAATTAAATTTTAAAATAAGGATGAAAATTATAACCATTTCATAGGGTGGATATGAGCAGTCAGAGTCATAATTCATGGAAAGTGCTTACCACATTGCCTGATTAGGTGGTATTTTGCAAAGATGGTTACAACGTCTCCTATTCCACATATTCTTCTGCAATATTCTCTTACTACTCACTCACAATTAGAAATGGAGTCTAATTCCTCTCCTTTAGTGACTCATCAGTAACCAATAGAATACAGAAGAAATGATGCCACATGGCTGCAGAGGCTAGGTCATAAAAAGCTATACTAATTTTACTTAGTTCTCTTGCAACAATTTACTATCTAGTCCCTCCATCTGGGAATGCTCCCTCTTAGAGACCAGCCACCGCACTAAAAAAGCCAAAGCCACATGGAAGAAACATGTAAGCACTCTGGTCTACAGCCTCAACTGAGCTCAGCCTTAGAGCCATTCTTACCAAGATGCCAGAAATGTAAATAAAGAAGCCTCCAGAGCATTCTAGTCATTAAATGGTAATGTCACCCCAGCTGATTGTGTCTTCGGAGCTTACAACATAAAGATGCAAAAAAAAAAAATTCCCACTCTGCTTTATCTGCCTACATTCCAGGTGCTTGCTCTTGGGGCACTTCCTTTCAGAACCCAAGAGTAGTGAGAAGTCCAAATGGCAAGAAGAGGTCATATGCTGACTCCAGACCACAGCCCCAGTGAAGGCCAGCCTTTGAGTCATCACAGCCATCCCATGAGACATGTGAGTGAAGAAGCCTCCAGATGATTCTAGCCCCCAGCCATATGAGTCATCTCCAGCTGTTTGTGTATTCCATCTGAGGCCCCAGACGTCATGGAGTCATCATCACTTTACCCTGTCTGTATTCTTGACCTACAGAATTTGGGAACATGTACATTGATGTTGTTTATACCACTAAGTTTGGAACAAGCATATATAGTCAAAATTCAGTAATTGTTGGCTACTCTTAAAGTTATAATTATTTTTATAACAGCTGGCCATTATATATATAGGTTATAACTCAGAAGAGAGGTGTATCTTGAAGATATGTGCATAAAAATATGAGTCATTGTCAAATAAGCAATTGAAGACATGGGAGTAGATAAATCAACCCAAGCAGTATGTAGGATGCAAAAAGAAGGAAGTATATAATTTTGAGGAAGCCAAAGATTAAAAGAGGAAAGAGAAGACAGAATGGAAACGAACAAACATAAATTAGTCAGAGAGGTAGACAGACCAGGAAAAAATGGTAACATGGAAATCAAGGTTATAGAAGGTTTCTTTAGGAACATATAATCAGCACAAAAACAAACAAATAAACAACCTGTAGAGAATATAAGTATGATCATTAAAATGTATCTGTTAAATTTTAGTAGCCAGGATGACAAAAAAATTGGGAGATGGGTAAGTGAAGAAAGTTTAGACTAGCTCTTTAAAAATAAAAATAAAAATTGGCAATCAATAGAAAGCCTCCTTCATACATAGGAGAGAAAGAGGGTGAAAGAGAGTGGATGCTTTATAGATGAGCAAGGCATGAGTATGCCCTGGGCTGCAAGCAGGTAGCCATTCAAGAGAGAGAATGAAAATACAGAAGATACAGAGAAGAGAGGAGAATTTATAAAAAGAAATGTAAGTATAAATTTTTTAAGTTGAGGAGAATAAAGTGTAGGCAATTTATTTCAGATTATATGTCTTTTCTGTGCTGAAATTACTACTCTGGATTCCTGAATAGTAGAGCAGTCTCTTTTATGGACGCCATGAGTGTGTTTCTCTTTCTTAAAAATATAAACAAATTAATGAAGAAATAATTCATTTGTAAAATTCTTCACATTTTACCAATTTTTGATAATATGATAGAATGATCTTATAATGGCATTTTATTGGGTTTGAATTTGGACTAACTCCTAAAATCTCACACCTAGTTGTTGGTATGGTTTTTAAATAATTTAAGGGTTTTTTCCCCCCACTGTATTAAGTACAGTTAAGTTTAAAAAGGTAGGTTATTAAGCAGTATGTCTAGTATAATTTCATTACATATTTTTATGGATACAC